TGGACTTACATTTTCATGTACCTACTCAAACTTAATTTTTTTTACAAACTTTTTTATCTTAAACTCTAACTAGACCTTTTGAACATTTTGAACTTTTAAAAATGCATCCATGACAAATTTTAAAATAAACATACTAGTAAAGAGTGGGCAAGTAGGTAACCGCTTTACGTTGTTCAGTAGGAGTAGAGTGTACCTCTTCATTGAGTAGGTCACTGTAATGAATAAGCTAAATTTAAATTCAATGATAAATCATACTAACAACTATTCTGAACTCATATTACTCTAAGTATATTTCATTTGTTTATTTTATTTTAATTGCTATACCTACTAAATCGTTATTCATTGATTGAATATCAAAATATGTTTTCAACATTTAACATTAAAATATCTTGATACAAATAGGCAATAGGTTTTTTAGATTAATGAGTTTCAGTATGAACTATTATTATGAGGATCTATGTACTAAATTCTCAAGCCTTAGATATAAAAATTGAATTTATTTTAATACATTTTTAACTTAAACATTTTTCTTGATTTTGACGAATTTTGTAAAAATTTGAACTTAACCCACCAATAAAAAAATATTATGCCTGTGTATTACTAATATTTTTAATTTTCCAAAAGAACAACTTAAGTAACTAAATATATACATACTTTTTGACCAATCCTGAAAATTTTAATCCAAACTTCAAAAAAAAGAAAAATCTAACATTCAAATGCCTATAAATAGCTTACAATCAGTACAAATATTTAAAAAAATATTTTTAAAGTTGCTAATGTGAATTCTCTTAAAATTATATTTCAAAAAAACTAATATTTTTGATGATTTACGCTGATGTGGATTTAAGCTTTTTTCCCAGTATATAAGCCACTTTACTTATTCTTATTCAATTTTCAATCGCATTGATCGAGCGTAATTTGTTTTATAAAAATTTAAGGAAAAAAAAAACTAAAAAAACTTGTAAATTTCAAATGTCTATTAATAGCTCAAAAAAATCAAAATATTATTGAAATTTTCCCGTATCTACGGTTATTCGTTTTTGAATTACAACAAAATAAGAAAATCGAATATATTAAAAACTGGTTTGGTTAAACCTAAACCTAGCCCTCCCTCCACCTCCCACCCAAAGTACCAACTATATTCACTTTCCTATCAGAAAAGTTATTGAAGTTCAAGTCGAACATTTTTATTACTTAAAAAAGTGATTACAGACACAAAAATTAGTAAAAACCAAATCACATCATTGTAAAATCAATACTTTAATTGCTATCCGCTCAGAATCTATAATGAACAAAAAAGAATAACAGGGTACTTTTGTACTTACTCTTAACAAAAAATATATTCAAATTAATCGACTGTTATGCTCAAACATTTTGAACTTGATTATAATCGAACTATTCGTAAACAGTACTATAGTAGATACCTACTGCAGGTCATACTTCTGACCAAGTTAGATTTTGTACCTACATTTTTCTCGAACTTCAAACACTTCAAGCTCTTGACATTTCTAGGAGTTCAAGGGTTCGGAGAATTCAAGAACCATCCCTAGTTATTTTTAATCAGGACACTTCCTTACGTCCGGATACATGTCAATGAATATTACAGTCTGCACTATTTTCAAGCCATAAAATACCACATAAAGTACGACATTTTCTGACAAAACTGTAAGACTTTGGCATAACGAATTTTAATGATTTTGAAATCGGATTTTGATTAACAACTTTACTGTTTGCGTAGTAATAAAATATAAATTTTAATTGGATCTTCTGCAGTTAAAAAACAAATATTAAAAAATCAAAAATCAAAATCACCGAGTAGAATATAGTAAACTTGTTAATGAATCGAAATACATTTTCAAAATTGAAACCCATCTAACCAAAGTCTGAATCCCGGCGGTAGCGTTAAATATAATATATTAATATGTTAGTACTAACAACTAACTACACAACAATGAAGGAAAGGTCAAGTTTAAAGTCCCGTATCCATCATGCGTCATCTTCATACCGAAAAGTACTTAATTTTGGTATCAATGAGTATAACTTAAATACATAATTACTAATATATATAAATATTATATTTTGAATAATTTACGTACATATATATAAATTATAAATATATAATATAAGTACTCGATACACCTACAAATTTCAATAAATTTTACTTGATTAAGGTAGATATAGAAGAAATATAGGTAATACTTTTGACACTATTTATTATGAAACACAGTACGTGCTAAAATGCTAAAATATGCTAAAATCAGAAATCATATGTTCGGTGTTCCAGAAATCACTTTTTTCAGAAAACGACAAAAACTAGAGGAACGGCCGGTACCTTAAGTCCGTAACATGACATAAAATCAAAATGCATCATTATTGTATAATATATATCAAGAAACACAAATCTTTCATAAGAAATATGATTTTTGTCGTTTAAATACTTGGAAATTTGGAACATGTGAGATTTATATCAATATAATATGGAACATACTATTTGTGAATTTTGGTTATAACTAATAACTATAATGGAAAATGTAAGTTACGCAATAATTGTTTTTTTTAAATGTTATTATTAATTACAAAACTCACATGGTCCAATGGAACATGTTACTTTTGACACTACTAGTTTTTTAGTGATACCTTTTTACATGGGATTATGTGGGTCTTAAAACCAACTAAATATAGATTCTAATTCCCCATCAAAAGTTCTATAAGTCACATTGTTGATAACACAATTTATCTTTTTTTGGATCATGTGACTTTTGATTATAGCCTACTCAAATAATTTAATGATAATAACTTAATAATACATCGAAAAGTAGATATCAATAATAATAAATAATAATATATTATATGTATTTATTATGTATTTTTGTATATAAAAACGTGTGGATGACATTATTATGTTGAATTAATGGACTACTATAATATTCACTTATATCACTTAAACATTTAAATTAATGATGAACCGTTTCAATAAAAACGATAAATCTATAAAAAAGAAGAATACTGAACGTGTGTGGTGCACACTGCATCACCATACAACTAAAACCTTAAAAGCTTAACTTTGTGATAATGTAATAACATTTTATATATTATAACATAGGTACATATTATAATTTTAGTCATTGCTTGAATATAACAAGATTGTTGTTAAACTAACAGTATATTATGGTACCTAATATACTGTTAGTTATTATACGAGGTGATTCCTTCATCAAAGAACACTCATTATAGTAACTAGTAGTTACCTACTTCAAAACTATTTAACAATTTAATTTTAATTTAAACTTTTACATAACATTATTGTCATTACGAAAGAAGATTTTTGAAATAAATTATATTTTTTTCAATTCCTTTTATATACCAAAGCAGAATATTTTTTGGACTAATATATAAAAATCAAATTTTGGAATAGTGTATTTATGAGTATTTAACTTATACCTAAGTGTTGAAAGTATCATGCAAAATATTGGTCCACTACTTAGGTCATCAAAACTTTTAAGTCATAACTTTGAAATAATGAGTGTTCTTTGATAAAGAATTATCAGGTATATACATAATACGCATTCATATAGGTATAAATGTTAAATATAATTTAATTATTATACATACATTTTAAATGTAGCTGGTACTTACTTTGAAAAAATATCTAAAAGTTATATTGGTAATTGTTTAGATTATTAAATATTGATTCTCATCGACACTAATAATAAAACAAGTAAATACATTTAGAAATAAATGGTTTTAAGCCAAGCATGGTCTATAATCGATGTACATCCAATTTCCAATAATTTGGCTATATACAATGAAAAAATACGACTTTTATTATACAACCCTATACAAATTATTCGGATCGTAAAAATCTTATAAAAACAATTGTTTTTTTTTCGTTCATTTCTGTTTAATATCCAATTGAAAATTATTCTACCTATTCATTTATAGCTAATAATATACCCTCGTGAAAATGAACGTTTTTTACAATGTAATCCATGTTGTGGAGGTGTTCATAGTTTATGAATTATCAATTAAAATAACATGTGATAAAAATTAAATGATATTCTCATTATTAGCAGACGCGCATTGTCCAATATGTTTAAATTATAAGTAAGTAGGTACCTATTACAAACAAACGATCGTTTGAGACTTTGAGTTAAATTAATAATCAATTATTATTGTAAAAAGTGCCCAGTGTTAAAATATAGAAAACTGTTTTTTTTATTAAGCATTTGAGACAAAAGTCCAAAATAAATATTCATACTCAAGAATTCTATTAAGCAGTTAATAGCATGAAAACAATTTATACTTGCAAACTCATTTGTACATTTAAAAACATGCACGCACAGTTCAACAGTTGTACCTTACATGTATACATATTTTATAATGACTTATTTTTAAAAAATAACGTGTACCTATACGTTTTTTCTGGATTTTTATTTTTTTATACTTTAGTGTTTGAGATTTTGGAAATTTTAAAATTGTTCACGACCGAAGTAAAAAATATAACTACTAAAATCGTTCGAAAATAATTTGGTTATTATTATTTATTATATTTTCGTTTAATTATCCAAATTTAAATCACAAATGCCTATGGTATTCGATAGTTTTAAATGTTTGTAGAATCATTCACTGAGAAGTTTGTATTAATTATTTAAGTCTTATTATTAGGTTTGAATATTGAAAAATGTTATACATTTCTAACCACAACACAATTTATAAATCTTCATGATTTTTCAAATTTTGAAATACAAAACCGTATAAAAAAAGTACTTAGTGCATTTTATGTATTTTCGATAATTTAAAATTGAATACTAATTAGGAACATTTACATTTTCAAAAATTCATCCTTCCTATACCATTAAAACAAAATGCTGACCACTGCAATATTGTATATATTGTTATAGGATATCAAATTATGAGTAAATAAGCAAAGGTGTATTTTTATCATATATTTTTGCATATTAATATATTATCATAATATTGATGATATTATATATACTCACATTTTTGTCATTTTGTTCACAATCGCATAAAAAAAAAATATATTACTGAAAAATCACTTCGGGAAAAAAGTTCGTTTTGCCTCGGAAGATAAAAAACCGAATTAAAAAATATAATTTTTTGTAGTAAATACACGAAACACGACCACCGCTAATAATATTCGCGATGCCAAACCAAGGAATCCTTCGAGACTTGTGCCGTGTGATACGTGAGAGAAGTGTGATTATTACAAGTGTGGGTGCACGACGATACAGCTACCTATCTAACTCTCTTTCGAACGTTCACCGGTCGACTGAAGACGCTCGTCCGGTAGATCGGCTACATCGTATATTATCATAATACATTTATATATACATATAGGTATATATACAAACATTATATGTGTGTGTGTGCATTAAAACCGTTCAAACGAAACCGGTACTACGCTATATGACGCCGCCGCGACAAAATTACGTGTGAGCAGAGATACATAATAATATTATAATATTGTAGGCACCTACTATACTACTATTATGATTATTATTATTTTACGGATATTTTAGGTATATAATGCAATATTATATATACACACGAGAGCATTTATCTGGGTCAAGCATGATGCCGGACGTTCGTTTCGGAACCGGTTCCGTGACACTGTGGCCTATAAAACCGATTCCTCTCGGATGCACCCAAACTATCTTTTGGTTTTTACGTATATATAGGTATATAATATGAATTATATTACAGCTTTATAATCGTTTTAGAATTGATAGATAATAATATACTAGGTAATAATATAAAAGTCGTCATTGTCACGCAGCAACCACGTTTAACAATATATGCGGACGTGAGCTGATGACATTATGACGAGGACTCCCCTGATGTAAAACTCAAGCAAAAAACAGGAGGGATTTAGCCCCCTCAAAAGTTTAAAGTAGAGATCTAAGTCCTCGAAAATATAAGGTGCCTAAATGCCTAATATAATTATCATAATTGTATTTTAAATTCTGAGTAAAACGATGAATGTATTGATTTTACAATGATGAGTGTTTTTTTTTTGTGTCTGTGTACACGATAAGTAATCGAAATAATACTTCGATTTTCAACTTCAGTCTCTTGTTTGATGGGAAAGTGAATGTTGTTCGTGAATTTATAAAATTCCCAATAGTTTTCAAAAGCGCCTGGAAAAACAAAATAAAAATTAAGGAAAAACGGGAATTTTTACGCAAAATCGATTTTGGTTTTTGGTGTAACTCTAAAACAAACGTAAATACATGAATCACTGAATATTTATATTAAGCTTTTCTATACATGAAAAAATTTTCAAAATATTTTGTCTTGTTTTAAGCTGATTACTAATATACTCAGTTTCCAACTTTTTTAGGTTTTTTTTCTATGAATGTCAATAAAACTTTATTTGTTGGGTAAAAAAGTTTGAAAATTTAATACAAAGCTTCTACTATATTGTTACAGTGACATTTAAAAAATATTAAAAAATCCTTAGTCACAGTTTTTTTTTTAAGCATTTGAAATTCAAATATTGACAAAATACGGAAAAATCACGAAAATTAGTAAATTGTTTTGAGTTGAAAATGTATAAACATTTTTCTTTTTAAATCTAAAATCTAAAAATGTAATACAAGATTATTCATAAGTTTGTCTACCGTTATCATAGAGTTACCAAAAAATATGTCTACAAGCAAATCAAATTAAATTTTTATGAGCGTTTAAAGTTCATATTTTTACAATACTGGATATTCATCGATTTTTCATGTAGAAGTTTTGTTATTTTATTGTTATTCAAAAACGAATAACTGCAGATACATCATACATGAACAATGAACATTTTACTGAATGTTTATATTTTCATTTTCTATAAACCATATAATTTTGAAAATATTTTGACTCTTCTTGAGCTGTTTACGGACATTGTCAGTTTTAAATTTTAGATTCTCAGTGGAACGATGAATGTATTGATTTTACAATGATGTGTATTTTAGATTCTGAGTGAAACGATGAATGTATTGATTTTACAATGATGTGTGTTTTTTTTTTTATTTTTTTTTTATTTTTTTTATTTTTTATTTTTATTTTTATTTTTGTGTCTGTCATCACGTTTTAGGACAGTAAAAGTGCTTGGATTTTCTTCATCAGTAGCTTTTCTGATAGGAAAGTGAATCTAGTTGGTACTTTGGGGGGTCAAAAGTATAAATTTCCCAGTAGTTTTCACAAGCGCCGAGAAAAACAACATAAAAATTAAGGAAAAACGGGAATTTTCACGCAAAATTGGTTTTCCAAAAAATCGATTTTGGTTTTTGGTGTAACTCTAAAACAAATGAACGTATATACATGAAATTTTCACTGGTTGTTTATATTTGCATTTTCTATACACGATAACATTTTCAAAATATTTGGATTTATTTTGAACTGTTTAGGGACATTTTCATTTTCCATTTTTTTTTAGTTTTTTTTCTAAAAATAGCAATAAAATTTTATTTGTTGGTTGCGAAAGCTTGAAAATTTAATAGAAGGCTCCTAATATATTGTTTCAAAGGCAGATGAAAAATATTAAAAATCCTTAGTCATAATTTTTTTTTATAAGCATTTAAAGTTCAAAAATTGACAAAATATGGAAAAATCACGAAAATTAGCAAATTATTTTGAGTTAAGAATTCGTAAAAATTTTTCTTTTTAAATCTAAGATTTGAAAATTAAACACAAGATTCCTTATAAGATTATCTACCTTTATCAAAAAAAAAATGTCTATAAGAAAGTCAAATTAAATTTTTATGACCTTTTGAAATTAAAATTTTTACAACATTGAATATTCACTCGATTTCCCATGTAGCGATTTCCTTATTTTGTTGTAATTTAAAAACAAATGACTGTAGATACATGAAAATTTCACTGAATGTTTATATTGGCATTTCCTATACACCATACAATTTTGAAAATATTTTGACTCTTTTTGAGCTGTTTATGGACATTTACAGCTTTCAATTTTTTTTAGTTTTTTTTTCTATAAATATCAATAAAGTTTTATCTGTTGGGCCAAAAAGTGGAAAAATTTAATACAAGGCTCCTGATATATTGTTACAATAGCAGTTGAAAAATATTAAAAATACATAGGCACAGTTTTTTTTTATAAGCATTTAAAGATCAAATTTTGACAAAATTTATCAAAATCTCGAAAATTATCAATCATTGTAATAAATAAATTATAAAATGTTCAGTTTTTATAGCTAATGATTGCAAATTTTAAACAAAGGTTCTCATAAATAGTTCATACTGTAACCAAAAAATCTAAAAAATATATGAACACAGTTATTTTTTATAGACATTTTAAATTCAAATTTGGACGAAATTACATATTAAAAAAACCTAGAATAACTATTATAGTTATTTTGTTGTGATTGAATAATATTATTCGTGGGTACTTGAAACTTCTAAAGTGTACTATTATATATCTATGATAGTATCACGGTTTTTGTTGATGTATAACGCGTTATAAGTACCTAATGGACATTGTGATATGATTAATTTGGAATTTATTATAGGTACCTATTATAGTTCAATTTTTTGTTTAATACCATAGATATGTATATAATATGTCTTATAAATAGACTGACATACCGTCTCCGCTCAGAATCGTTTTTCTTATACAATGATATTATATCGTTGAATTCAAATTTAATATCATCCATTATACAGTGACCCACTTGTAACCTACTGTACAGCAGAGCGACACCCACTTGCCCACCTTTTTTTTTTTTTTTAAATTTTTGTGTCTGTCATCAAGTTTTAGGACAGTAAAAGTGCTTGGATTTTCTTCAACAGTATCTTTTCTAATAGGAAAGTGAATCTAGTTGGTACTTTGAGGGGGTCAAAAGTGAATTTCTAGTAATTTCCCAATAGTTTTAAGAAGCGCCGTGAAAAACAAAAGAAAAATTAAGGAAAAACGAAAATTTTCAAGCAAAATCTGTTTTCAAGAAAATCGATTTTGGTTTTTGGTGCAACTTTTAAACAAATGACTATAGGTACATGAAATTTTGACTGAATGTTTATATTAGCATTTTCTATACACTATAACATTTTAAAAGTATTTTGACTTATTTTGAGTTCTTTACGGACATTTTTAGTTTCCATTTTTTTTTTTAGTGATTTTTCTAAAAATGTCAATAAAATTTTATTTATTGGTTAAAAAAGCTTGAAATTTTAATAGAAGGCTCCTAGTATATTGTTTCAAAGGCAGATGAAAAAAATTAAAAATCCTTAGTCACAATTTTTTTTTATAAGCATTTAAAGTTCAAATATTGACAAAATACATCAAAATAACAAAATTTGAAAATTATTTCGAGTTAGAAATTCATAAATAATTTTCTTTTGAAATCTAAGATTTGAAAATGGAATACAAGATTCCTCTTAAGTTTGTCTACCTTTATCAAAAAAAAAAAAATGTCTACAAGAAACTTAAATTAAATTTTTATTAGCATTTGAAACAAATTTAAATTTAAAACAAGATTCCACATAAGTAGTTAATTCTGTTACCAAATAATCTAAAAAATACATAAGCACAGTTTATTTTTATAGTCATTTTAAGTTCAAATTTGGATGAAATTACATAAAAAAAAACGTAGAATAAATATTTTAGTTATTTTGTTGTGATAGTAGGTATAATATTATTCGTGGGTACTTGAAACTTCTAAAGTACACTATTATATATCTATGATAGTATCATTGTTTGTTGTTGATGTATAACGCGTTATAAGTACCTAATGGATATTGTGATATTATTAATTTGGAATTTATTATAGGTATCTATTATAGCTCAATTTTTTTTAATACCATAGATAAGGTATATGGTATGTCTTATACCTAGACTGACATACCGTCTCCGCTCAGAATCGTTTTTCTTATGCAATGATATTATATCATTGAATTCAAAATTAATAGGTACCATCAATGGCGTAGCCAGGATTTCTACAAGGGGGGGGGGGGCCCAAAAAAAAAATTTAATAAATAACATACAAATAACAGTGTTTTTAATCTTTTAAAAATGTTCAACAATATTTTTATTTTGTCCAGTCCAATATGTGTACCCTTCTTGGAGATCTTTTTATAAAAGCTGGTAAAATGTATTTTTCAATATCATCACAGTCTAAATCATCTTTGTTTATATTAGCTAGAGCTAAGCCATTTAATCTTTCTCCAGTCATAGTAGCTCTTAAATAAGTTTTAAGTCGTTTTAAGACTGAAAATGTACGCTCAGGCGTAGCTGAAGTTACAGGCAATGTAGCAAACAATTGTAGAAGTTTCTTTACATTTGGCAAGAGCTCTGTTCAATGTTGAAGTGCTTCAACGGCAGACCCTGGAAGATTTGTTTCTGATTCCCACTGTTTTTTCCAAATAAATATTTGTGCTTTTCTACATGACATCATGCTAACTGAAAAATCATTTTCATAAACAGAAGCAGCCGCTAAAATAGATGTATCGTCATAGTATCCAAAATTAGTTGGTATTAATCCTTCTAGTGGCATAATTTGTTGAAGTCTTTTATCAAATCTATAGTGTAACTGATTTATTAAGTTATCAAGAAATTGTATGAAAATTGATATTTTATAATACTCTTCAGGGTCCTTAGCATTAACATTAACTCTGTTAGTTTGTCTCCCACATGTTCTAGGCATGGTTATTTCTGCACCAACTTTTAAAGCTAATTCAGTGAATATTAATTATAATCTTTTCAACGACAGTACGACACAATATATCAACATCACGTCATCATGTCACTAACACCAGCATTACCATGTATAACGTAACCTAATCTGTAAATAAGTTGTCTATAAAAAAAATATTAGTGCAAGTGACACTCTTATCAATCTATGGTGTTTTGATAAACAACAAACATTAATTTTTTTTTTTAAATTTAAACTCCAAAACGGTACATAGCCAAAATTTATTTAAAATTATTTACGATTATTTTTTATATATTATAAGATACGACCAATGGGGGGGCATGGCCCCTGTAGCCCCCCTGGCTACACCACTGGGTACCATCCATTACAGTGACCCATTTTTTTTTCTTTAAATATCAATAAAATTGTATTTGTTGGGTAAAAAAGCTTGAAAATTTAATGGGAGGCTCTTGATATATTGTTACAGTATCAGTTGAAAAATATTAAAAATACATAGGCACAATTTTTTTTATAAGCATTTAAAGTTCGAAGTTTGACAAAATTTAATAATTATTTTGTAGTAAAAAATGTATAAAATGTTTAATTTTTATAGCTAAGGATTGAAAATTTAAAACAAGATTTCATGTAAATAGGTATAAATATATAAATTACTTTATTCACAATAATAACATCAAAAGACTTAGTAATATCATAGGTTTTCGCTCAGAATCGTTTTTTATATAAAATGATATTATATCATTAAATTCAAATTTAACACCATCCATTACAGTGACCCACTTGTAACTTACTGTACAGCAGAGTGATATCCACTTACCCACTTTTTTTAATTATATTTAAATTTATTAAAATGCATTACAAATAAATATTTTGTGCTAAAAATGTTATGCGTATACCAGCTTACTATGATTTTACAAAATTGTCATCAGGTCGGTCGGTAATGCGTTTTTCTTGTAGCATTGCAGTCCTCCACATCACGCAGTTTCGGATTTGATGAAAATACGTAATATTTAACTATTTTTAACTAATTAAAGATAATTTATTTAACTGAACTTTGAAAAAAGCAAGTCATACAATTTATATACTATATTACAAAATATGTAATGATAAATTTTTCAAATTTTGTTTAATTTACTAGCGATCTATTATAGCAGTTCCTAAACCGCCCTAATTTTCGTACTACATATTTAAATTAATAAAGTTCTTTGAAAGAATTTTCTATAGAACGCAGAATTGGCTAATATAATATTAACATACTTACTCATTTCATACTACAAACAATTTTAATGATTGATTATAATTTACACGTAGTATTAATAATAATAGATACATTATGATTTATGACTTAATAGTAGATCCTTTTTTAGGGTTACGTAGCAAAAAACGGAACCCTTATAGATTCGTCATATCTGTCTGTCTGTCCGTCATGGTGTCACAGATACTTTTCTCCGAAACTATGAGAACTCTACTGTTGAAACTTGGTAAGTAGATGTGTTCTATGAACCGCATTAAGATTTTCACACAAAAATAGAAAAAAAATAATACATTTTGGGGGTTGCCCATACTTAGAACCGAAACTCAAAAATTTTTTTTCTCCCAACCCAACGTGCGGGGTATCTATGGATAGGTCTTCAAAAATGATGTCGAGGTTTCTAATATAATTTTTTTTTTAAAACGGAATAGTTCGCGCTAGAGACACTTCCAAAGTGGTAAAATGTGTCCCCCCCCCTATAACTTCTAAAATAAGAGAATGATAAAACTAAAAAAAATATATGATGTACATTACCATGCAAACTTCCACCGAAAATCGGTTTGAATGAGATCTAGTGAGTAGTTTTTTTTTTTTAATAAGTAAATAAATAAATAAGTAAATAAGAATAATAATAATAATAATAATAATAATAGTAATATGTATATAATATAATATAAAATATGTCTATTTTGTCATGTATATATTTAAAAATGTAATCTCAATCACGGGCTAAGATAGACTAAGATGGGCTATAATGCCATAATGGACTGAGACTTGGTATAAGACTTCTGTTCTGCTGGACCTTGTGGTGGGGCCAAAGTTCGTGCCGGCCGAACGAAACGACTTATTATTTATGTTACTTGCTGCTACGGAACCCTTCGTGTTCGAGTCCGACTTGGCCGACTTGGCCGCTTTTTTTTAGTTTATTATTGTAATAATTGTAATAATTTAAAATCGGAAATTACTTGTTAAAAGCTATAAAACATGAACAACTAGAAAAACATATTTTCTTGGAGGATTTTAAAACTCAGATTTTTGTAAATGCATGTTTACGGTTTACCCAAATATTTTTAAGCTTAACGCAGGTATCCTTAACGGCTTAAAAATGAAAATTACCTTAAAGTTCGGTTACGGAACATGGTGGACAATGTTTGGAAGGAACCAGTTCCAAAAGAAACGGTTTCTGGTTCGAATTCCTTATTAAAGAAAGCGAATTCCTTCTTATAAAAAAAAGAACGAGAAATGAACGAGTTTTTTTCAAGGAAAATTAACAAAATATTTCGTTTCTTACTAGTTATGTTACTTTACACTCAGATATGAGATATGTAAATAATTGAAATTAAGATATATATTTTTTAATGTGTATAATTGTTATACTAATATGTATGTTGGAAATTAGTGATCGTTATCGAGTATCGACGTTAATCGTTACTCATTAGTCATTAGTCACTTTATTAATATTTCTCATAAGTTATAAGTTATAATTTACATAGACATGAGTACTTATATAAAATATATATATTTATAACAATAAACGATAAGACAGTCGGTCAACAATTTATTTTGAAGAAAATCTCAAAATAGAATTTTAAAAAATGTACCTAGGTATATTATTTTATAATTAAAAATTAAAGAAGTATGAATATGAAAAAAAAAACATTAATCATTAAATAAGAATTTTAATTTTATTTGGAACTAAAAAAAGAACTAGTTCATTTTCCAAAGGAACGACAAAGGAATACATTTTTTTTTTTTTTTTAAAAAACGAGGAACGGAAAGAATTACTTTTCATAAGGAACTTGCCAAACAATGGAAAATGCCAACATGTGAGTACTATTTTTCTGCTATGCGGAGAATAAAAACAAGGATGCGATATACAATAGGCTTCAAAATATATTTAAATATCTGTTATACATTTTCAGAAATATTTGGCCAAATCGCCAAAAGATAAACAATAAGGATACATTTGATTGCTTTTCAGATAAAATTGATACATTGTACTGAAATGAACATATTCTGACATCTGAGTATTTATATATTAAATAATATATAATAATATTATTTAGGTAAGTAGGTTACTATTTACGTTTTAAGTATATGTTTGGGCTGCCGGCTATTCACTAGCATTTGGCCGGGCAACTACTTAAATAAAAGAAAATGGTGTTCACGAGTTGGGGTGGATAGGGTGACCGATATAAATAATAGAACGCCAAGGTTGTGGTAATAATAATAATGGGTATCTATTGCAACACGAACGTACATAAATGTGAATAGGTAATAATAAATGACAATGACAATAATTAAATACCGTACGGCACATGCGCCGCGGTGGGGTGGTGTATCGGCGGCGACGGTGACTGCAGCGGCTGCGGCGACGATGGTGATGATACGCAGGTGAACGGGGGGACGGCGGCTCCGACCGGATTCTGTAAGACGCACGGTGACGTAATCACGGCAATGAAGGCGGCGTCGCACGAGGGACTTACGCACACAAGGGTAATAGCAACGGCGAACGATATCCGACTTGCTGGTCGCGGCACGAATTATGGCCCGTCGGAATCAGACGACAACTGATGATCCGACACGAAGTAATAACAACGGGCGCGAATGTCGGCGGCGGCGAACACGCGACAATGAATAGCAGTCGCACAACGGACAACAGGTCGACGATGATCGGAACGACGTCGAAGACGAATGATGATAATAGCGAAACGCAAGCACGGTGGCGGACACGACCGTCGGCTAACACACCGTACCTAACGTTTATAACTTCGCGGGTATACGATCTATAACGACCACGAGGTGGTCGCAACGGAAGCGAACTCGTCGCTAAATGAATAATGAATAAACGCACGGATTATACGGACCACGAACTCGTCGCGAAATGACAGCGAACTCGTCGCTAAAGATGGCAGCGAACTTGTCGCTAAAATGGTATCGATCACGGTCTGCTCGCATGGAGCGTGCGGCAAAGACGCACGACAGGTCTGCACGCAACGAGCACACGGCAAAGACGACTTTTTGTCGCCGGCGGAGATTTGGCCAAAGCCCGGCGTCCGCGGGCCGCGCGGTGCGCTGTCTCGCGGACCGGTTGCCAAATGTTGCACCGAAAGCGGCGGGAAGTTCAAACATACTCCCCCATGAGAGGCGCAGCTTCACATCCCTCTTTGAACGCCGCCGATACTGAGACCTAATTTATATAAATTGAAAGGCCGAAAAATAACATAAATATAAGTGTAAATAAAACATGAACAAATTAAACATTTCATAAAAATAACAATTGTACCAGAATATGAGAAGGGACACAATAAATTAACAATAATAAGTAACGTTAAGCACGTTAACAAGTGACAATAGGGTCACGAATAAATAATACGAAAGAAATAAATCGACACGACTAAACAAAAGTTGTAGTCCAAATAATAATTATACAAACTACATTATAATAGTGCAACATAATAATACAAAAAGACAAATAACGCAAACCACAACAGGTAAGGCGAATAATAATTTGACATAATAACATAATTGATCATGAAAAATGAAAAAAATACAATAATTGAGGACTCCCCCCGTCATAAACCCAGGCTACGCCACTGACAGATTAGACCGTACAGGACGCCAGTTAGATAAATAAGTGGTTTAGGTTGGGGTACGGGAAGTATATGTGCTGTGATTGCCCATGGGGTATAATATTTTTTACAACAATATAAATCGCAACCAGATAATTTAATAAACAAAACATAAGTATAGATAGGTAAACGATTACGGCGTAATGACGGTACAAGAAGGTAACGTTATACGAGGCGTCAAGCCTGAATGGTGCACTAGTATATACACCAGAACATAACAATACTAATAATAATACACGAACCAGTATAAATAATAAAAACAAAATGAATTATAATTTACAATAATAAATGAACGTGATAAGGTTCGTATAATTACAATATCTATACACAAAATAAATAATATCAATATAAAAATATAAACAGTCGATCACCCGATCTCCACCCACGCATTGTGTATGACAAAATGCTACACTAAATTTACAGTGGGTAGGGTCGGTGAGATGGACGCGTCGTGTCACGGAGCACAGTGCTTATAGGTGACACAGAGGGACGCGACAACATATATTATTTTTAAGTTATTGGCGGATAATAATGCCACCGTGGACAAGCACCACTCATTACGTTTGCCCGCAAATATAATTTTGGCGGCGACGGCACGTACCAAAGACGGAAGCGCGCAGGTACACGTACCGATAACAACGGAAGTGCTAAGCGACGGCGTTTCGTAACTCGTACAAACACTGCAGGTCGACGGCGCACCACGGAATGACATGAGAACGACGGCGGAGTCGTGCACACGCGCTTTAACATGGCCGGAGCTTGAACGCGGGTCCCTGACTACTTAGTGGTTCCACTGACAGCAAGGGCTGCACAAATACCATCGGGAGAGAGAACGTCCCTAACCAAGTCATGACTACACGGCCGTACGAGAATCGGAGATACGACTAACAGCGCGACACGGGATACAGACGATAATAACAATGTATGTACGCGCCAATACGAAATAGAACGTCGCACTCGACCGCCTCCGTCATAAACTGCATACGGCAACAAATTACTTGAAGGTACATACGGTACCCAAGCTCCGCGAACGGCAAGAAGAAACGACGGGTCACAATTACGTCGACAACAGACGGCAGTCGTACGGCGCATAATATAAACACCAGTGCGCAACATGCGGTCATAATAATTATAAATGCGCGTAAACAATTTGTTAGTCCTAACGACAATACGCGCGATACACGAACTCCGTATTTTAGGTAGGTCACACAAGGCTAGCGACGGTAGTACGTCGTCCCATTCCGACGGTTTTCCGAATCCTACCTGTGGACCACACCAATGCATAACCGTTCGCGCTCGGACAAACGAATTTACGTCATAAGACGCGTAATAATTGACGGGGAAATGATTTAGCGATTTAACGTGCTGCCAACAACAATCCGTTAACCCTGTACGGATGTTGAGCACGCAGCTGAATACATATTTATAGAAAGATTCGTGAGGGCCGCTTACCCGAAACACGATAATAGTCACGTCTGCCCACGGACGTGATAAACGCGGCAAACGCACGTATCGCAGACGGCTGCGCGCTGGTACACAGACCAATAACGACGGACGCGTAATACGACGGCGTTCCGTATTCCGTGTAAACAAAACGGACTGACAACACACCCGCACAACAACGGAGTGAAGGGGGGAAACCGGCTGCGGTGTATACGACACCGGCGGCGGCGCCGACACGGCCGGACCTCGAAAACAGGTCGATGACAATGACGAATTATTTGTTATACTGATACTGCGCTTGACACGAAAGATCTCAGGAGGGAACCCGTCCTCCAACGTATTACATTTAAAAGGCCTTACGAAAGTCGGCGATACTGCTATGGGCCCGAGCACCGAGATCAACTTGGTCACCGGCATAGTGTGAGCTACAAAACTATAATCGGACACGAAAACGCGATCTAACGATTGTGTGACTATTTTACCGGACACGGCTGACGAGGTATCGATCGCTGACGTATTATAGGACGATAACACTTTCGAAAAGCATCCACTTGGATAACGACTACCTCGAACGGTGATAGCCCTTGGCGATAACGAAACTGATTGCCGAGTCGTCGGATGCTCGTTACGACCACTACGCGAGGGATTCAACGGCATAGGCTCAGTCGGAACTTTCGCACGTGTACTACATAATTGGGCCATACCTACTCTGGCTACGTCGATTAACTCACGCACCGCAATACGTAAAGCGGGCGAACACTCATCTGCCCGGTTAAGCAATGACAAACAGTGAGAGACGTCCGAATCAGCGGACACGAATTTCGACCATAACAAATCTAGCGCGCGTAAAGAATAATAATACGGGGCGCAAAGTTCGCCTGGATAGAAACCTCCTAGCGTGTCGTGAATTCGCCGAATTTGTGTGACGAAACAGTCCCGCTTCGCGACGCTGAGGTTCAGCAACCGTGTAAGGCGGACGAGCTCGTTCTCGTCGAACATTGTACCAATATTGTTTATATCACAGCGACCGATGCTATTAGTTGTTACGTAACTATAATCTATAATAGGTACAGCTGATATACCGGAGATATCAACTCAACGACCGTCGAGACCTTAGATCATATACTATGGATGGAGCCACTGCATATTATTTTGAAGCCGATATTAGCGACGAGTCACCGAATTAGGTGATCGATATGCGCATGCGCGAAACAACTCGTCGCATAATTATCCATAGATTACTATCACCACAAATAATAATAATAATCATTAATTCATTACCTATCGGCTACGGTAAATTTATTATTTTATATCTTACTTCTTACTTCGTAGCTAGTATTTTCGCTTAAAAGTTAATACTTATTTTATTTTGTTATTTTACTAATTAGTAATTATTATATTATCATAGTAGGTACCTATTGGCTATTATACCATTTATTTTTTAAAATATATAATTGTTAAAACATGGTAGTCATTGAATTGTTTGTCATAATATTATTTATTTGAATCATTTTACTATTTTCATCATTATTATTATAATAATTAATAACAAATAAAAACAAAATTGTGATTACAATATCAACAATTAGAAAATTTATTGGTTATGGAATAAAATTTGTTTTGTATAGTTATGCCTTATGTTACGACCACTAATTGCAAAAGTATGTGATTTCGCAAAGTGGTGGAGTCTCAGGGTAATATAACAATCAACTATTAATTTTAGTAGCTGGCTACGGTGATTATCTAACAGATCTTGTTGTAATATGTGCTCTTTTATTTCTTTTGAATTGAATATGGTGTTGTCAGAGCTCAATTCATTCAATGCTTTTAAAGATAATATTAATTTAATATTTTTTTTCCTCAATAAATCTTCATTACATATTCTAATTATATATTCTGTCACTAAACATGTTTTGTGAACATCGGAAGATACGTTTATTAATTTCCCTCTATTTTTTAGCTGAAACAACTTTGAAGAATTTTGATTGTTATTATCATCAACTGTTAGAAATGAATCACATGTCTTACAAAGTGCCTTATTTTTTTGAATCTTTCGTACAATGAAGCCACTTGTGTAGTGTACGACATCCACCACATATTCTTCTAGCTCAGGCATATGGTAACAATTATAATCATGATCAAATTCATCAAATAAAATTTGCTCCTCAACGTCGATTTCAGTGTAAATAGCGTCTGCGTCTGTCCTTTTGCTTGCACTAACATAAAGTATATTAGAAGTATCAAGTGGCGAACAATTAGCATAAACTGAACCTTCTATATTATGTCGAACCAACAAACGCTTGTAAGCGGATCTGAATTGTATCACATTCGGGTTGTTATTAAATCCGCCTCTGCTTCTCATAGCACTAAAAAATATCTCAATATGATCTTGGCTAAGCTTATAAGTCAATAAAAATGACATTCTTTCCTTTTGTAACTCTTCAAATAAATTTATTGTATTAGTAAGACATATGATGAGACCTAAAAACCCAGTTTTTCTTTGGCTTTTTAATACCAGTTCTCCTTCTGAATTTGTTGTTAATGGTTCAAATTTTAGACCCTCAATATATAATTTGAATTGTTCAAGAAATTGCTTAGCTTTAAAAACAGTTTCTTCATTTATTGGAAAAGCATAATCGCCTTTGCACAATTTGTTTCGACAGTTTAATAAATCAAAGACATTATTCATGTATTGACAAAACTCTGCGGTTGCTTTTACATTTTTCATTAACCCTAGCTCTTCACAAAATAATAAACTTGAGCTCACACTTGAGCTTAGGGTTTGAGCTGCCAAACGAACATTCATTTTATTATCATAGTATTTAATATGTGGTTTTCTTAGTTTATTTGCAGCATGCAATCCTTTGCTCTCTTGAATTTCATGTAATTGAACTATGTTATCCCATTTAATATATTGGCCATCACAATTAATGAGTACTTTTTTATCTCCAAGTGTATTTCGTACTAGCTTAAGCATATGGCAAGCATCCCATAAAATATAGACTGGTTTGTTTTGTAGCTCAGAAGTTGGGGAGAAATTAAACCAAGGCTTAAAGTTTTCAGAATAATAATCAAAATTGGCTCCCATTATTTTGCACATAGACATATTTGATGATGCTCCGTCAAAAGTGATTGAATAACACTTTGCTCCTGTTTCTGCAAACAATTCTAAACATTTTGTTAAGAGGTTGGCTCGTTCAGTTCCGGTAAGACTATGGATCAAAAAGTATCCTAATGGAATCTTCCAATGTCCATTTATACAAGTCGCTAAAAAAACTAAAGCATTACTAGCTTCTTGAACATTATCTGTAATGTTTTCAGCACCGGTCCCTAAATCGACTCCTCCATAAAATTTTCCATTCAAAAATACAACTTGTTTCCGAATGGCCATTTCGTCCAGAGCTATGTTGCAAATTATGGGATTTGGCGAATGTTCTACTTTGGATTTTATGGCCTGAAAAGCTTCATTTGTGAAACCAGGTTCACCTCCGACAACAGAATACCATTTTTTCAATGTAGCTGGATGAGGCAATAACTTTCCGAATGTTTTCCTAACAAAAAAGTAAGCTTTAGCTGAATAAAATTGCAATGTTAAAGCAAAGGAACGTATTTCTTGTGAAAATTTAGCATTTCTTGATCGAAGACTTCTGTTCAAAATTTGTTTTATTGTATCAGAAGTTTGATTCTGTAAAGTAATTAATTAAAAATAAATATATTTTCATAACTAATTATACTTTTATTTACCATCACCTCCATGTAACTTGTTATAATTGTCATTACCGTTACCTTAACATTAGCAAAATATAAAACTATTTAAAAAAAATAAATCACTTACAACAAAATAGTCATTAATCACTGTATACATGTAGTAGCAATATGTACTGCTTGCATCTAGTAAATCGTGCACTTCACTTCTTTAATTTGTGTAGTGAGTGGATATTAGTTGGCAAAAAAAACAAATACAGTAATATAAAACGATTAAGTACAAACATATACTGTTTTTAGTAACGAATAATTATTTTGATACTTTTCAACATAGAGTATTTTTTAAGGTATTTTAAACACACACACAAATTAATTTTCAACATAACCCAAAAATTGTTAATAACAACATGCATAAACTTTATTGAACTTTCAGATATGTAATTTAGATTATTAAGATTATGGACTTACAAAAAATTTAACAAATACATTAATTGAAGAACTTTTTCCATTTCTGTGTGTAAGGTGGACTAACTCGATCAGAATTATTTTTATAGAAATAGATGACATTAGGTACATAAAACCATATTGTTGTAACATTTAAACTCTCGGACACTTAAACCATGACAAGTAGAATAAATATACACACAACAATCTTCATAAATAATTAATACCAATATCGAATCATGAGCTTCTTCAGTGAGAAGGTTTGTTGATTTTAAATGCTTTAAAAGCGCTTCTAAAGATGACAATTTATTTTTTTGCCGTCTAATGGTTTGATTTAGAACTTTAATATTATTTCTTTGAACCATGACCTGAAGCTTAGCCCTGTTGAAATGCCTTTTAGCTCTCCTTGGGGTGGCAAGGTCAGGTGTTTTAATATCACCAACAAAGCATTTTCTTTTTTTATGAGTAGGTGTATCAATTACTAAATAACAAATATATATAATTAATTGAGAAAGAAAGAAGTTAGTAACATTTATTAGTTACCTTCAGTATTACTAGTAATCAAAATTGGTGATGATGGCTCCTCAGACATAATTTTATCTGGACTCAAGTCGAGTTTGCGTTTTTGAATTTCTAAAATTATAAGAAAATTGATTTAAATTAGTGATTTATATTGAAATAAAATAAAATAAACTTAAAAGAATAAAGATAATCATAAGAGAAAGATATTTTACAATAGGCTATCTCTACATTTAAACAAGGCCATAGGTGATTTAAATAGGAAATTTAAAAAAATTCATTGTTACCATAAGCATTATGCAGAAATTAAATTAAATAACTACATAGTATTTGTATTACCTGCTGAATTGTCAATGGAAGAGGTAGGTTGTACTGGAATTAAATCATGAACCCTAGGTGTGGAAGGAGCATTTACTGTTTCATTACACTTTCTAGACAACATTTTTAATATACAAAAAAACAATTAGGTACAAGTGTTTATAGTAGAATATGAGTTACTTAATACATAATATATTAATACAAACAATACCTAATAATTTAACTAACTTTTTAATATGCAAAGTAGGAACTGAGCCACGCTTCAGAACATTTTTATTTAATCCAGTATAGCAATTTTTTTCAAAATGAACTGAACATAGTTTACGCTTAGGATAAATGTCTGATTCACTAAATCCACAGGCCTCCATCCATTTTAGCCGTAAAGCTTGGTCTTTAGGAAAACTAAAAATTTTTAAAACATCATAATTACTTAACACTCAAACTTCTTTTAGATTCTGAGCGGAGCGATTAATGTATTGGTTTTACAATGATGTGTGTTTTTTTTTTTATTTTTTATTTTTTTTTGTGTCATCTATTTGGTACTTGGGGGGGGGGGGGGTCAAAAGTAAACTTAAATTTAAAACAAAGATTCTCATAAATAATTCATACTGTAGGTAACCGAAAAATTTAAAAAATATATGAACACATTTATTTTTTACAGACATTTTAAATTCAAATTTGGACGAAATTACATATTAAAACCAAGAATAACGATTTAAGTTTTTTTGTTATAATTTAAAAATATTATTTGTTGGTATGTGAAACTTATAGAGTAAATTGTTATACTTTTATATACATGTAATGACATTTTAAAATGTAATTTTTTTGGGAAAAATGAATTTAACCAACTATAGTAAACACTAATGCCTAAAACTAAAATTAATTACTTTATTCACAATATAATCCACCTTTTTTTACTAATTTACTTACTTATGTAAAGATAAACCTGGATTCAACTTAATGGACCGTAAGCAAAATATACACGCATTATAATTATTCACTTTCTTACTCATGATTTATTATTTAAATTTTAAATATTTAATTATTTAATAACACTATGATTTCAAATTTCAATATTTCAATATTATAATCACCAGCTGATAAATATGCGAGAGGTTGCGTTGCGCATGCGCATATCGAACACCTAATTCGGTGACTCGTCGCTAATATCGGCTTCAACTTTTTGTATTGCTATAATATGCAGTGGCTCCATCCATAGTATATGATCTAAGGTCGAGACTAATGAGCTCTGAAATAGATAACGTTATAATAGCGGGCGGCGCGTATACGCGATAATAATAATACCTGCACTACGGATCTATGGACGATACCCAGGTAATGATTGGCGCAAGGTGAATAATAATAATTTATATTTTATAATATGATTGATAAGTCGGTGATATCAAAATGCGACCGACGCGGCTTACGCGTAATAATAATTGTATTGTAAATACCTATATAGGAGATATTACAATAACTGGCACGCGGTTCGCCTGAACTAAACTTAGACTTAGCTAGTGCTACGAATATCAACGCATCGGGGTTGACCGCAACGGCTAAAACAGCAGCGAACTCGTCGCTAAATGAATACCTATGATAAGCACTGTACTCTAGACCCAGGGAAAACACAACTAACGTCTCAATCACACGTTACCGAACCCACACCAAACGTGAACACCTAATATAACCACGCTCTGCTACCAAATGTTTGGGCTGCCGGCTATTCACTAGCATTTGGCCGGGCAACTACTTAAATAAAAGAAAATGGTGTTCACGAGTTGGGGTGGATAGGGTGACCGATATAAATAATAGAACGCCAAGGTTGTGGTAATAATAATAATGGGTATCTATTGCAACACGAACGTACATAAATGTGAATAGGTAATAATAAATGACAATGACAATAATTAAATACCGTACGGCACATGCGCCGCGGTGGGGTGGTGTATCGGCGGCGACGGTGACTGCAGCGGCTGCGGCGACGATGGTGATGATACGCAGGTGAACGGGGGGACGGCGGCTCCGACCGGATTCTGTAAGACGCACGGTGACGTAATCACGGCAATGAAGGCGGCGTCGCACGAGGGACTTACGCACACAAGGGTAATAGCAACGGCGAACGATATCCGA